TCTTTTCCCATGCAATCATATTGGTAAGGCTGTCCTGTTTGCTGTCCCCCAAGCAGTGACCCCTGTCCCTTGCTGTCCCTGCAGGTGCTGCTGAGCCAGGTGCACCGGCTGCGAGCGCTGGATCTGCTGGGCAGGTTCCTGGACCTGGGGCCCTGGGCTGTCAGTCTGGTGCGTGGGGGCTGCCCGGGGGCTCCATCCCCCTCCGTGTGCCCTGCAGGGTGGTGGGTGCATGCTGCCTGAGGGCAGCACAGCACAGCTCTGACAGTGAGCCAGCCACATGCTGGAAAGGGAGAGGTGTCACAGTGTCACACGGGTTTGGTTCGTCACACCCAGCCCCTGCTCCTGCCCACTGCAGCCAGGGGAGCTCCCAGGGAGCAGCTGAGTGGGAAATAACGTCAGGGACAAACCAGGAGGAAATATATAAAATAAATAGCCAAAAAAAGCACATGCATTTATTATGTGTTCTTTCAGCTTACTGGCTGCATCATTTTCTTCTCCTCCTTGATCTGTTTGGTGTCTGGGTTTTACAAGCTCTTGTGAGCAGGCAGCAGCTGCATTCTGCAGTTTGCGAAGTGGCAGCACAGTGTGGAGCATAAATAAGAATTAAACAGGAGCAGTTTAAAGCACTCCCGTAAATGGAGCTGTTTGATGATAAAAGTGATGAAGATGAAGCAGCAGCTGGTCCTGGAGCAGCTCAGTGATGGCACTTTGTAGTGCTGGGCTTTACCTCCTCCTGGAGAGACCTGGTAATTCCCAGAGGGAAGGCTGGGATTCCTGAGCTCTGTGTTGAGCTGGGAGAGGCAGCAGGGCTGAGGGAGGTGAGGATGAGGAGCACAAAACAGCCCAGGTGGGAGGAGAGGAGGCTGGGCTGGGTTAACACAGGGTCTCCATGGACCAGATGAGTCTGGAAGTACCTGGTGCCCTTCAAGGTGAAAATAACAACAACAAACACTGGGGACCCCTCTTTTTGGGGAATTATTTCCTACCAGATTTCTCAGCTGTGTCTGTAACAATGCTGCACCCTGGGCCCTGCTGAGTGATTTGGGTTTTACTGACAGGGATTTGCTCTCTCCCTCCAGGCCCTCTCTGTTGGCATCTTCCCCTACGTGCTGAAGCTGCTGCAGAGCTCAGCCCGGGAGCTGAGGCCTCTCCTGGTGTTCATCTGGGCCAAGATCCTGGCAGTGGACAGTGTGAGTATTCCTGCCCCAGGCACAGCCCTGCTGCTGGGCTTGCACATGAACAGTGCAGCTGGTGAGTAAGTGCAGGTGAATCTGTGGAGTGCTGTCTCTGGCTCAGTGGTTTGGGGGTGCAATTAGTGGAGCACTGTGCAATTGTTAGGAGAGGTGCTCACATTCATTTAGGCACAATTGGAAGTCCATGTAGAATGTCTGACCTGCTCTGGATGTTGGATCTTTCCTCTTTGGGGGTTATTTTTCTATCTCCTGCACTTCAGTATGGAGCATAGCACTGAATTCGTGAAGGTTTTCCTGCTGTTGATCCAGCATTGTCAGGTTTGGTTTTATAACAATATTTTCATTAACATCCTAAGAGGATTTGGGAAAGCAAAGAAAATGATAGCTATTCATCTCAGAGCTCTTCTGGAAGGCTTATTTGTGGTGCCTCAGCCCCAGGTGTGTGCAGGGCTCAGGTGTGATTCCCATGTGCTGTCCTGCCCCTCACACCTTCCCTCCCATGCTCGCTTGTTTGCAGGCTGAGCTTTACAGCAAAACACACCAAAATACCACTCTGAAGGGGTGGGTTTGTGTTTCTTTGTGCTGTTTCACTCCCTCATTGCAGCAGCACATGGTGGGAGTGGGAGGGAGCAGGAGGAGGTGCTGAGGATGCTGCTGGGGGGGCACAGGCTCCCTGCAAACAGAATATCTGCTGTGAGTCTGCACTGGCACAGCCAGCCTGCAGCCCGGCTGGGTCAGGCTGTGCTCCCACTGCCACAGGAGCTGTTTATTCCCTCAGCAGGAGCAGGAGGAGGTGTCAGTGCTGCTGGGCTGCCCTGTGCTCCCAGCACGGAGGGGTTCAGGTGTGTTCTGCTCCCTCCTGAGCCCCAGGGGCTGGGCAGGACGGGCAGGGCAGCACTTTGGCCTGGGCAGCAGGGGCAGGGCAGCACTTTGGCCTGGGCAGCAGGGGCAGGGCAGCACTTTGGCCTGGGCAGCTCCCTGTGCTGCTGCCCAGGGGCTGGTTCTGTGTGAGGAACACACGGTGCTGACCCTGGCAGGCTCTGAGAGCAGCCTGGGCTGAGCAGAACTCGGGGAAGCCTCTCCTGTAGCTGCAGCCTGGCAGCGCTCCAGGCCCTCTGCTCCTGGCTCTGCCAAACCCAGCAGCTTCCCTCTCCTCAGCACTCAAATATTCCCTTGCATCTCTGCCTTGCCACCCCCCCTCCCCTTTCAGCAATCAGTTCCCTCCTTCCCCTTCTCCTCCTGATGAAAAATGCATGATCCTGTCCCGTGCCACAGGGAGCTGTGCCAAGGCAGGGTTTCCTCCTTCCATTTTCACTTTCTCCACGTGGATCCTCTCAGAGTGACCCCAGAAGTGGAGCCTGAGCTGGTGTGTCAGCCCACCCTGAGCTCCCCCTGTGCTCCCCAGGGGCTGCTCTGCTGCCTCTGGTGGGACACACAAATTCCTGGGGAGGGTCAGGGTGCCCCAGAGGGGCTGCTCTGGCTCCTGCCCACACAGGGCTCTCATCTCCTGCTGTTTGTGGCACTCTGGCAGTGCCAGAGGCTTCCCTGCCCTGCCCTTTGTCTGGTGCAGCCCCCAGGGAGGGTTTGAGCTTCATCTGGCTTCTCAAATGGAAGCAAGGTGGGAGAAAAATGAGAAATGAAAGGTTTATACATCATTGGAGGAAGGAGTGTGTGTGTTGTGGTTCTCACTGTGCTTTTCTTGTCTCCCTTTCAGTCGTGCCAGGCCGACCTGGTGAAGGACAATGGGCACAAGTATTTTCTCTCAGTCCTGGCAGATCCCTACATGCCAGTAAGGACAAGTCACATTTATTCAGGCTCTTTGGCATTTCCTTGCCTGTTTTAGCTGGTGTGCTGCTGTTGGGTGCCATGTGGGGCTGCCTCCCCTGCAGTGGCACCCGGAGCTGGGCTGTGGGCACGGGCAGGGCCCAGCCAGGGCTGTACAAACTCCTTGGGGTTCTGCAAGCAGGGTCCCTGGGAGTGCAGCTGGGGCAGGGAACTGCCCCACAGCTCTGGCAATTCCCTCTGCAGCAGCTGGGTTCCCATGAGGGTGTTCGGGGTCTCCCCAGAGCTGGCTGGGAGCATGCTGGGGTGTAACAGGGCCAAGAAAGGGGAGGGAAAGCTGGCATTTTCTCACTCTTTACCATGGCACAGCTTGCTCTGGGGGTGATGCCCTGTTGGAGGGTGGGCTGTGGCTGTTCTGCCCCCAGCTCAGCTCAGTCTGTGCTGTTTTCAGGCTGAGCACAGGACCATGACAGCGTTCATCCTGGCTGTGATTGTCAACAACTACAACACGGGGCAGGTGAGTCCCAGAGCCCTTCCCCTCATCATCCTCTGCCACCTCTCTGTGCCTCATGCCTGGCTTTGGACAGCTGTCCTGGCTTGCACTAAACCTGAGCTTGGAAACAGAGCTGGGACGTTGTTTTCTGTTATTTCTGTGTGGATGAAGAGAAGCACTGGCCTGGAGATGTGACAGGCATTCTGCAGCCAGCACCTGGCACTGGGGGACAAGGACAGGGTCCCTGCACAGCCCCTGGCACAGGAAGGGTTCTGGTGCTGTCCTGATGGCTGGGAATGCTCTGTGCATTGAGCCATAAACCCCGGGGCTCTCACAGGTGCAAGGAACCTTTCCAAAGAGGAAAAACTCAGCTTTATGCATTGCAGAAAGCATTTTAATGCTCAACTATCTAATCAGCTCTAGCTGCCTTCCCCTTCGTGCTGCTGGTGTCTGTAACAAAATCAGTCTGGAACCACAGAACGATTATTTTCTCTTGGCTTCCTGACTCCTTCAGAAACAGTCTGGTTGTGCGGGGACGGGGTGGGAAGCTGTCATCCCAAACAAAAGGCTCGGTTTGTGTTGCAGGAGGCGTGCCTGCAGGGGAACCTGATAGCGATCTGCCTGGAGCAGCTGAACGATCCCCATCCGCTCCTCAGGCAGTGGGTGGCCATTTGTCTGGGCAGGATCTGGCAGAACTTCGACTCGGCCAGGTGGTGTGGAGTGAGAGACAGCGCCCATGAGAAGCTCTACAGCCTCCTGTCGGACCCAATCCCAGAGGTAAAACTCCAGCTCTCCTGGTGAGCCCCACCGGAGCTGGCAGGGCTGGAGTTCTGCAGAGCAGGGCATTCTGAGCTTTGGGTTTGTGTGTCTGGTTCAGAGAAGGAGCTTGCTGCTGTTTCTGCAAGGTGATGCAAATCAAACAAGCCCAAAAATCAAAATTTATTACCCTGGAGAGGAGGTTCCAAAGAAATGCAGAGGGAGTTCACAGAGCCCCAAACCCCTGGGACCTGGGCACTGCAGTGCCATGGTTTTTGCTTCCTTGCTAACAGAAGCTGTTAAAAATGTGGTCCCAGAACTCACTGTGTTTTGCAAAAATCCCTCTAGTCTTTTTGTCCAAGTAAGAAAACTCTTCTCCCCTGCTCATTGTGGAAATGCATCTTTAATTGGCAGTGGTTTACCTCTGTGGCACTCCCAGGAGAGGAGGGATTGTGCAGGGCCTGGCAGTGACTGACAGAGCCCAGCACAGCCTGGGAGAAGGGAGCTGAGATAGACAGCTCTGATAACGTGCAGGGATTGGGGATGTGATCCCCTCCACATCCAGCTCTGTCATCCTCCTCCTCTTCTTGTCCCTGGCCCCGTCCTCCCCACTTTCAGAGCAGTGTTTCTGCACAAGTGGGGTGGCTTTCCAAAGCTCTCCCTGATTTTGCTCCATTTTTCCATCATCTAAGCCCATAACTGAAGACTGTAGTCATCACTCCCTGTAAAAGATCCACATCCCAGCAGGAGCTGTGTGTACCTTGTTCCTGTTAATCAGTATTCAAGGCAGCACCAACTGGAAGAGCCACCCATGGGAAGGTCACTGAGTACTCTGGGAAATGAACCATGTCCTGCATCTGTGGAGGCCTAAAACTGAGTTTGCTGAGTTTGCTGGGGCTGCTGCTCCCCAGGGGCTCCCCTGGCCCAGCAGCTCAGGTGTGACCGTGTTCACAGGGGTCTGAGGATGAGGGAAGGGATGAGGATCTGACTCCATGTTTCAGAAGGCTTGATTTATTATTTTATGATAGATATTATATCAAAACTATACTAAAAGAATAGAAGAAAGGATTTCATCAGCAGGCTAGCTAAGAATGGAAAAGGAATGAATAACAAAGGCTTGTGGTTGACCAAGACAGTCCGGACAGCTGGACTGTGATTGGCCATTAATTAGAAACAGCCCCATGAGACCAATCACAGATGCACCTGTTGCATTCCACAGCAGCAGATAACCGTTGTTTGCATTTTGTTCTTGAGGCCTCTCAGCTTCTCAAGAGAAATCTTAAAGAAAAGATTTTTCATAAAACGTGTGTGTGACACTCGGGTTTGCAGCACTGACCCAGCAGCTCAGCTTTGCAGTGCTGCTGTGTGTGGGGATAACTGAGAGCCAGAGGGGACAGGCAGGGCTGTTCTTTGTGCCCCCAGGTTCGCTGTGCTGCCGTTTTTGCCCTGGGCACCTTCGTGGGGAACTCGGCAGAGCGCACGGACCACTCGACCACCATCGACCACAACGTGGCCATGATGCTGGCCCAGCTCATCAACGATGGCAGCCCCATGGTGCGCAAGGTGAGGGGATCTGCAGCTCTCCTTCAGCTGGGAGCTGTGCTGGGGCTGAGCCCTGGGGCTGCCCCTGCTCCCTGAGGCACGGCCTGTGCAGGGAAGGAGGGAGCTCTGCCCAGGGAAAAGCCTCCCTGCCCTTGGAACCCCTCACAGTGGCTCTCCTGTGGTAGCAAACCCCCAGCCAGGTAATAATTATTGACTCCATCATCCAGAAGGTCTGAAAGACACTTTATTGTTAGCAATCTACACTTCTTCTTCTAGAAACAGTGGTGGAACTAAGACCTGGTTGGTCTCAAAGTGAAAATTTTTCACACACTGTTGGTGGCTATCAATAACACACTCTAGAGAACCATATCTATAAACAGTGGTTGCAGAAAGAGAGATAATAATTGTTTGAATTCTTTTCCTCCAAGTTTCTCTCAGCTTCTAGCCAGCTTCCCAGGATTTTTCTGGGAAAGTCTATGCCTGCTCTCTGTGGCCAGAGAGCTGCTGCCACCCTCCCCAGCTTTGGGAGAGCTACAGTTTCTGAGGCACCATCGTACATCAATAGTACATTAAATGGTTTTTGACATTCTGGATTGTTTTTGAGGGCTGTTCTGAAGTGTCCTAATGTTTGTGTTTACTTTAGTGGAACATCAACACCCTGGCACTTGTCAGCAGCATTGCAAAGATTCATTTCTGTTGTCTCGTTCCAGCATTTAATCAGTTTAATTCAGGAGGGAGCTGCGTGTCACACGGAATGCTCTGGGAGATTCATAAATCTCTCCTTGGGAGATCAGTCCCTGAGCAGAGACAGCAGCCAAAGGCAGCTCTGTCTCCTGCCTGCTGTTCCCAGGGGCCGGGCAGGAGGGGCTGGGCAGGGTCCAGCTGTGCCATGGGGGCTCAGTGCCCCCAGCCCTGGCACAGCCCTGGCTCTGAGGGAGCCACACACACCCCGTGGACTGGGCCAGGTCAGTGGCACTGCAGCAGTGTGACAGAATCAGCCACAAACCCCAGGGTGGTTTGGGCTGGAAGGGACCCTAAAGCTCCTCTCCTTCCCCAGCTCCCCTAGGGCAGCTGCTCCAAAGGAGGGAGCCAGGTAGGAAAGGCTGTGAGGAATCAGCTGTGAGACCCAGCCCGCTGCCTTTCTGCAGCTCAGCCCTTGAATTGAGGGAGAATTTCCACCCTGGATGGCCACCAGTCACACCAGCAGTGTGGGTCAGTGTTTGCCCTCAGTCCCCTGGTTCTCATGAGATGTTTCTTGTGCTCTTTCCCCAGGAGCTGGTGGTGGCCCTGAGTCACCTGGTGGTTCAGTACGAGAGCAATTTCTGCACCGTGGCCTTGCAGTTCATAGAGGAGGAGAAGAATTACCCTCTCCCTTCTCCAGCTGCTCCAGGTGGGGCTGGGCTTTGGCTGGCCAGGAGATGCAGGGCCTGGATGTACTTGGGGATTATTTAAGGAGTTTTCCCATCACAGTGAGCTTCTTGTGGGTGGGGGCTATTAAAGAGCCCTGTTGTGCCATGGTGGGTGACAAGGAGGGGACACCTGGTGTCGGTTCAGCCCTGTGAGATGTTACACTGGAGAAATCCATCCTGCACTGAGTCCCCAGCTCAGCCCTGGCTGCAGCTCACCAGGAGCCCCCTGCCCATGCAGAGAGATGCTGCTCAGGGCAGCACAGACTCATTTTCTCTCTCCCCTCTGGAGCCACACGTGAACATTCAGTGTCACAGTGACCTCTGAGAGCTCCAGCACACCCTGAACCAGCCCTGCTGCTGGGAGGGCCAGACAAGGAGGGAAAGAGCTCTGAGCCTGTGGCCCCATCCCTTTTGTTGTGTCTGAGGCTTTGTGTGAGGAGTGAGATGTCCTGGTGAAGTTGTCTCTGACCTCACCTTTCCTTTAGATGTAAACTGCAGTGCAAATCTTGAAGGGTAACAGGAGGATCTTGGAGACCAAACTGTGTGCTGTCTCTGCACAGAGTGGTTTGTTCTCCCTGTCCTGTGCATAACTGAATCATATTGGAAAATGAGCTCCTCCCCATTTGCTGCAGGAGATAAACACTGCATGTTTACAGGGCTTTCCACAGGGCTTTTCCTGATCCAAAAGAATCCTGAAATGGGACACACTGGAAGCACTGGCCCCCCACCACAGTGCAGCCACTCTGCAGGGAAACAGAGCAGCTCCCTGGGAGTTTAATATGATTTAAATCAGGCCTGAAATTTGGCCAGGAAACCAGAATTTTCATAGCTCCTGATGATGAGCAAATCCAGGGGGGTTGATGAGCAGCAGCAGAGAGGAGCTGGCCAAGGCTGTCCTGCCACAGGGGCTGGGCAGTGGCAGAGAGGGGTCACCAGGGCCCCTGGGAGGTGCTGGCAAGGCTGGGCTCACCTGGCCTTGTTGGATGTCCCAAACTGCCCTCCTGGACAGCAGAGACACAGAATCCGTGCTGGATCCATGGCCATAGCGTGCCCCCTTTTAGCCTGACAGAGAATGCCAAACTCTGTGCACATCAGGGCTGTTTTAATGACCCATTTGCATCGGTCTGACAGACTGTCAGAATCAGCCACAGAACCCCAGGGTGGTTTGGGCTGGAAGGGATCCTGAGGCTCCTCTTGTTCCAAGCACTGCTGTCCTAGGCAGGGACACCTCCCATAGGGCAGGGAGGTTAGTGGGGCACTGACCCAGCTTTGGGGCTGGCTTTGGTGCCAGCCATGGCCTTGCAGGGTCCTGGTTGATGGAGAAACCCAGCAAAGTTTGAAATTTTCAGGTTGGTTACCCCAACCACGGGGAGTGGCCGCATACAGAGGCCATTTCCCAGGGGAAACAAAGCCATTCCCCAGGGGCTGGGTGTCACTCACACGTGGCACTGGGGGCTCTGAGAGCACACTCAGCATCACTGCCTTGCCTTGCAGAGGGCGGGAGCCTGACCCCGGTGCGGGACGGGCCCTGCACGCCGCGGCTGCGCTCCGTCAGCTCCTACGGCAACATCCGCGCCGTCACCAGCGCCAGGAGCCTCAACAAGAGCCTGCAGAACCTCAGCCTCACCGAGGAGAGTAAGGCAGCTCCCTGGGCCCCTGGGCCAGACAGGAAACCTCTCCTGTACCCCCTGTGCCAGGCAGGGAACCTCCTTTGCCTCCTGCGCCAGCCAGGGAACGTCCTATGTCCCTGTGCCAGCCAGGGAATGTCCTATTGCCCCAATGCACAGCCAGGGAATGTCCTATGTCCCTATGCCAGCCAGGGAACCTCCCCTGTGCCCCCTGTGCCAGCCAGGGAACGTCCTATGTCCCAATGCACAGCCAGGGAACCTCCCCTGTGCCAGTCAGGGAACCTCCCATGCCCCCATGCACAGCCCAGGCTGCAGCTGGCACTTCATTCCAAACTGTCCAGCTCCCATGACCTGGATGAGGAGCCCCCTCATAATTAGTTGCAATTTTCTGGTCATTAGCATCGATTTTCTGAGTGTTTGGAGACTGAAAATGTGCCTTCTGGCCTCCAAGCATAAGTGGATTTTTAACTCAATCTTTTGCCCGTTCTGTGTTTAATCCTTCAGTGTGAAAAAGGGGAACTGTGGCTTTGCCCCCTGGGTGAGGGGTTTCCTTCCCTGAGCGTGGCAGGATTTAGGAAAGGGCTGTTTTGTCTGGGTGAGAATGGTTCTCCTGCCAGTCCTGGTTCCAGCACCTGCTGTTGTGTCCTGGCAGCTGGGAGCTCCGTGGCCTTTTCCCCTGGGAACCTGAGCACGAGCAGCAGTGCCAGCAGCACGCTGGGCAGCCCCGAGAACGAGGAGTACATCCTGTCCTTCGAGACCATCGACAAGATGAGGAGAGTCAGCTCCTACTCCTCCCTCAACTCCCTGATCGGTGAGCATGGCCCCCCTGCCCTGCCCTGGGGCTCCAGCACATTCCCCTCCCTGCCCTGTGTGCCCGGCTCACCCAGCACAGGGCTGGCACTGCCAGCTGTTGGCTCCAGGTCTGAGCTGCTCTGAAATCCCGTTAGGAATGCAGGCACAAAAATGTGGGGGCCACAACAGCTTGGCTTTAAAGCACCTGTAGCTTTTCAAACAGGCTGAGCCATTCTGGCACAGCATCACAGGCACCATGCAGCAGGACCTGGCTTTTGGAATGGCCTCCTTCCAGGGAAAGCAGCATGCACGGGGAAATGCTGGGGGAAGGCTCTTTGTTCCCTCTGTAATCACTAAATGGGCCCATATTTCACAGATCAGCGCAAAGAGAGTAACTCAGGGAGAAATCACCTTTGCCTTGACCAAAGAAACATTTTCCCTGCTCTGTTTTCTGGGAGAATTAATGGTGATTTGGCTCTTCCCAGCTGAAAGATTCAGGGATTGTAATTACTGAGCCCCTGTGGCAGTTTAAAATCATGAGTTCATTAGGAACTTGATCAGTTAATTTGCTTTTGATTATCAGTAATGACATTGGATCTTCTGAAGCATGGCAGGGATGTTAGGAAATTTCTCTCCATCTTGAGCTAGGACTGGAGTTTTCCCATTTCCAGTGATGGCTGGTGTGTGTCTCACCAGAGCTGTGCAGCACAGCTGGAAAGGGCTCTGGAGGGGAGCTGGAGGTGGTGAGGGGAACTTTGGAAAGACAGAGCAGCTCTCCAAGGCCTCCCTCATTCCTGATCCATCAAAGAGCTCAGGCCCAGCTGGAGCTTGGAGAAGTGTTTAAAATTCATGACTCGCACAGAATCCCATTACCTCCCCATTTGCCTGCTGCAAGCCAGGCTTTTCTCATTCCTTCTGAGGCATCACCATCCTCCAGCCCTGTCTCCTGCTCCCCCAGGAGAGGTGCCACCAGCCCCAGCCACCCCCTCAGCTCTGCAGCCCGGGCTAACCCTGCTCCTTAATGTGCCTTGGGCTGCTGCAGGGGGGCAGAGACCTGG